GATGCACAGCAATAGCTTGGTCTTAAATGTAACTCCATATTATAGGGTCCATGTTCTTGAGATGTTAAAAATGTATTGGTAGTTGGTAAATGTAGACCCTATAATGTGGTTTGGCATGTGTGACCCAATAGTTCTGATATATGTTCTAGATTGTTTAGGTCACCTGAGTTTACTACCATAATGCTTGTATTAGATACATTTGTATGATTCACAATATTGTTGAACTATTAGGCCATTATTTTCAGAAATAAATGTTCACATGTTGATATACAGCAATTGGTTTTGTCTTTAATGTAACCCCATATTATAGGGTCCATGTTCTTGACATGTTAGAAAAGTATTGATAGTTGATAAATGCAGGCCCTAAAATGTGGTTTAATGTATGTGACCCAATAGTTCAGGAACATGTTCCAGACTTCTTTTCCAAACTTTACACAAAAGGGGGCTTATTACAAGAATGTCTAATGAACCTGAACCTATTTGTGTAATCAGGGTGTGGAGGAAAATAGAGATCTTATTTTGTTTTACGCTGCTGACAGTATATCTGTATCTAAGATATGGTTATGTATTGTAGAAATGATAAGTGGTAAAACACAGGGTGACCAAGGTGTTTTCAGCATCGGTGAGGACAACCTACTATGTGTATCAGCAACCTGCACAGAAAAGCCTGAGCTCTACACAGAGAAAGATATTCATGATTCTAGGACCACCAATGAATCACTCACTGAGGATCTTAGCAATGGTAATGTATTTAATACATTCGTATTAGTCACAATATTGTTTAACTATTAGGGCATTATTTTCAGAAAAAATGTCCACATGTTGATGAACAGCAATTGCTTGGTCTTAAATGTAACTCCAAATTATAGGGTCCATGTTCTTGAGATGTTAAAAATGTATTGGTAGTTGGTAAATGTAGACCCTATAATGTGGTTTGGCACGTGTGACCCAATAGTTCAGATACATGTTCTAGACTCTTTAGGTCACCTGAGTTTACTACCATAATGCTTGTATTTGATACATTTGTATGATTCACAATATTGTTGAACTATTAGGCCATTATTTTCCGGAAAAAGCCCACATGTTGATATACAGCATTGGTTTTGTCTTTAACGTAACCCCATATTATAGGGTCCAGGTTCTTGACATTTAAAAAGGTATTGGTACTTGATAAATGTAGACCCTATAATGCAGTTTGGTACGTGTGACCCAATAGTTCTGATATATGCTGTAGACTTTTTTGATGGCCAAAGTTTACACAAGAGGGGGCTTATTACAAGAATGTCTAATGAACCTGATTCTATATGCCTGAACAGAGTTTTTAGGAAAATAGAGATCTCATGTTTTTACCCTGCTGACAGGATATCTGTATCTAAGATGTGGTTATGTATTGTAGAAATGATAACTGATGAAACACAGAGTGACCAAGGTGTTTTCAGCATCGGTGAGGACAACCTAAGATATGTATCAGCAACCTGCACAGAAAAGCCTGAGCTCTACACAGAGAAAGATATTCATGATTCTAGGACCACCAATAAATCACTCACTGAGGATCTTAGCAATGGTAATGTATTTAATACATTCGTATTAGTCACAATATTGTTTAACTTTTAGGACATTATTTTCAGAAAAAATGTCCACATGTTGATGCACAGCAATAGCTTGGTCTTAAATGTAACTCCATATTATAGGGTCCATGTTCTTGAGATGTTAAAAATGTATTGGTAGTTAGTAAATGTAGACCCTATAATGTGGTTTGGCACGTGTGACCCAATAGTTCTGATATATGTTCTAGATTGTTTAGGTCACCTGAGTTTACTACCATAATGCTTGTATTAGATACATTTGTATGATTCACAATATAGTTGAACTATTAGGCCATTATTTTCAGAAATAAATGTCCACATGTTGATATACAGCAATTGGTTTTGTCTTTAATGTAACCCCATATTATAGGGTCCATGTTCTTGACATGTTAGAAAAGTATTGATAGTTGATAAATGCAGGCCCTAAAATGTGGTTTAATGTATGTGACCCAATAGTTCAGGAACATGTTCCAGACTTCTTTTCCAAACTTTACACAAAAGGGGGCTTATTACAAGAATGTCTAATGAACCTGAACCTATTTGTGTAATCAGGGTGTGGAGGAAAATAGAGATCTTATTTTGTTTTACGCTGCTGACAGTATATCTGTATCTAAGATATGGTTATGTATTGTAGAAATGATAAGTGGTAAAACACAGGGTGACCAAGGTGTTTTCAGCATCGGTGAGGACAACCTACTATGTGTATCAGCAACCTGCACAGAAAAGCCTGAGCTCTACACAGAGAAAGATATTCATGATTCTAGGACCACCAATGAATCACTCACTGAGGATCTTAGCAATGGTAATGTATTTAATACATTCGTATTAGTCACAATATTGTTTAACTATTAGGGCATTATTTTCAGAAAAAATGTCCACATGTTGATGAACAGCAATTGCTTGGTCTTAAATGTAACTCCAAATTATAGGGTCCATGTTCTTGAGATGTTAAAAATGTATTGGTAGTTGGTAAATGTAGACCCTATAATGTGGTTTGGCACGTGTGACCCAATAGTTCAGATACATGTTCTAGACTGTTTAGGTCACCTGAGTTTACTACCATAATGCTTGTATTTGATACATTTGTATGATTCACAATATTGTTGAACTATTAGGCCATTATTTTCCGAAAAAAGCCCACATGTTGATATACAGCATTGGTTTTGTCTTTAACGTAACCCCATATTATAGGGTCCAGGTTCTTGACATTTAAAAAGGTATTGGTACTTGATAAATGTAGACCCTATAATGCAGTTTGGCACGTGTGACCCAATAGTTCTGATATATGCTGTAGACTTTTTTGATGGCCAAAGTTTACACAAGAGGGGGCTTATAACAAGAATGTCTAATGAACCTGATTCTATATGCCTGAACAGAGTTTTTAGGAAAATAGAGATCTCATGTTTTTACCCTGCTGACAGGATATCTGTGTCTAAGATATGGTTATGTATTGTAGAAATGATAACTGGTGAAACACAGAGTGACCAAGGTGTTTTCAGCATCAGTGAGGACAATCTACGATATGTATCAGCAACCTGCACAGAAAAGCCTGAGCTCTACACAGATAAAGATATTCATGATTCTAGGACCACCAATGAATCACTCACTGAGGATCTTAGCAATGGTAATGTATTTAATACATTCGTATTAGTCACAATATTGTTTAACTATTAGGGCATTATTTTCAGAAAAAATGTCCACATGTTGATGTACAGCAATTGCTTGGTCTTAAATGTAACTCCAAATTATAGGGTCCATGTTCTTGAGATGTTAAAAATGTATTGGTAGTTAGTAAATGTAGACCCTATAATGTGGTTTGGCACGGGTGACCCAATAGTTCAGATACATGTTCTAGACTGTTTAGGTCACCTGAGTTTACTACCATAATGCTTGTATTTGATACATTTGTATGATTCACAATATTGTTGAACTATTAGGCCATTATTTTCCGAAAAAAGCCCACGTTGATATACAGCATTGGTTTTGTCTTTAACGTAACCCCATATTATAGGGTCCAGGTTCTTGACATTTAAAAAGGTATTGGTACTTGATAAATGTAGACCCTATAATGCAGTTTGGTACGTGTGACCTAATAGTTCTGATATATGCTGTAGACTTTTTTGATGGCCAAAGTTTACACAAGAGGGGGCTTATAACAAGAATGTCTAATGAACCTGATTCTATATGCCTGAACAGAGTTTTTAGGAAAATAGAGATCTCATGTTTTTACCCTGCTGACAGGATATCTGTGTCTAAGATATGGTTATGTATTGTAGAAATGATAACTGGTGAAACACAGAGTGACCAAGGTGTTTTCAGCATCGGTGAGGACAACCTAAGATATGTATCAGCAACCTGCACAGAAAAGCCTGAGCTCTACACAGAGAAAGATATTCATGATTCTAGGACCACCAATGAATCACTCACTGAGGATCTTAGCAATGGTAATGTATTTGATACATTCGTTTTAGTCACAATATTGTTTAACTATCTGTGTTTTCTGAAACAAAATGTGCTATAGAATTGATGAAAATTTGCATAAAAATGAGAAAATTCGGAAATTGACATATTTTATGACCTTCATGTGACCTTTGTGTACCCCATAGCTTAGAATTGATACTCATTTTTAAGAGGAATGACAGCAGCTTAGTAATGATGAACTATTGCATCAGTCCTGGAGACACCACAAAAGAGGTCCCAAAAAGGGGTCTTAGCATTTCTTTTGCTTTTCACCCCAGTGATGTTTTTCAATATTTTTCAGGGTTTTGTTTTGTCCTACAACAGTCACATATTTTTTTTTAGATATTGAGATGTATCCAAGTGATGATGATGATGATGATGATAAGTCATACGTTCCAGATTCCGAAGACTATGATTCTAGCTCTTCAGACTCTGTTCTGTACCCAGAGAATGAGGAATTTGTCAAATGTAAGCTCAAGTGTACATAATGATATTTGAGCATGATTGCTGTACAGTAACTAAGACTAGATTCAAATTGCAGCTTTTATCCATCCATGTTTTAAAAAATATTTCAGTTTTTGTATTTGTGGTGTGGTTAACAATCTTTTTCAAGAAATCAATGTATTTGATGTGTGTTTCTAGGTAAAAAGCCTTCATTAACTCATTCAGCCCCAGCCACTCTTATCTACACTGTGCCTCAGCATCTGTTATCAGCATGTGCCCCAGAGAGATTTCAGGAGGATGCTTAGCGCTTGATGTAAACATGCATATGCTTTGTATTTACCTTTATATCTCAGTTATTATCCCACTTACATCCATGAAATTTTCACACAACAAAGAAAACAAAATTTAGAATTCATTGGTGTATTTTTTTTCACAAAGTAACAAATACTTTTACTGATAATAGTCCATGAAAAAAAAAGTTTGTGTTTGAAACCACTTATTGTCACAAATTTATGAAAGTTCTGGAAACTTTTCCAAGTGATAGGGCTTAAAACATTTTAAACACAAGTTCACATTGCATTTGTCACAGCCAGAGGTGGGTTCGGATCTAATTTTTTTGGTTGCACACTGCTTGCATGTTTTCTTTTTTGGCATAATGGTCGGCCAGTGAGTTTGAGTTATTTCTGCTGGTGCTTGGACCTCACCCTGCCTTTTTCTTTTGGAAGTGAATCCACCAAGCATTTGATGGGCTAGCTGCATTCTAAACTCCATCTGAGTCCTTTGTCTAGTCTTGTTCCCCTTTGTCTTGATTTCATGATTAGTTGATTCTCTCATGAGCAGGTAGGAGTTGACAACTGACACATCAAACAGGAAGAAGAACAAGTACTTCCACCACTTGAGAGCTTTTCTTGCTGTATTGTATGTAGACCTTAGTTGGTCAGCATGGTCTACTCCATTCATGTACTGATTGTACAGTTTTATGGACTCTGGACATGGTACATCTGTGGTGTTTCCATCCTTCTGTTTGCGCCCTACCGAGGTTGCTTCACCATCACTATTTGTTTGTAGGATGGTAATGTTTTTCTTGTCCCTCCAAACAGTGACTCTCATACTTCCTTTCTGCTTAGTTATACTTTTTCCTTGTTCCTTTAGTTTGATCTGTCCAATGTCTTTGGGTAGTCCCTTCCTATTGGCCCTGACAGTTCCACACGCATAGGTATCTTCCCGCAACAGCTCAAGGAATAAGTCTGGCGAAGTAAAAAAACTGTCGCAGTACACATGATGTCCTTTATTCATTATTGGTCTGATCAAGTCCAGAACAACACGTGAACCCAGGTCCTTTTCAGGTGCATTGTTTATTCGGCCAGTGTAGACCTGAAAGTCATTTACATAACCATTGTGGGGGTCAGCTCTAACCCATACTTTGATACCCCTCTTAGTTGGTTTCAGGGGGACGTATTGTTTGAAGCCAAGTCTTCCTGAATAACCAATCATCGCCTCATCAACTGACACTTCCCTATGCGGTTTATATTCTCTAAGGAAATTCTCTCGTAGTTTTTCCATTATTGGTCTAACGTGGGCCAATTTATCATGTCCTGGATTTCCTCGTCCCGGATTTGTGGTTGTGTCGGCAACATGAAAATACCTCTGTATATTTTCAAACCTTGTCCTGCTGAACTTTCCCTCTAGACATGATGGATGGAAAAGTTTGTCCTTATACCAGTACATGTCTTGGGCTGGTGCAGGAAGGACTCCCATAACAATTGCTGCTCCCAAATACGCTTTTATTTCCTCAGCATTGGTAGGGTACCATGCTCTGTTTGGGTTCAGTATCCGTGCCCTCTCTGCGTAAGCATTTGTTTGTTCAGCAATTGTTTGGTAAATGTCCTCTGTGAATAATAAATGAAAGAAATCAATTTCTTTTCTTGTTGTGTCCATCAATGTTAATGGTCCTGGATTTGGTCCTGAGAAGTTTTTTACGTTGATAGGTCTGAGGTGTATTGACCATCTCGCAATCTCGGCCAGAGGCTGGTCGTCATCGCTTGACGCTTCAGATTCAGAGTCTATATCCGAGTCACTGTCCGATATATCGGATATACTGATGTCAGAATCAATATTAGCTATTTCAAGCTGCTTTCTTACATTCCTTTCTTCAGCTTCAGTTATTTCTTCCACTGTAAATCCCAGAAATTCTTCATCATCATCGCTAGAACTAAAGTAATCCGCCATTGTGTTTGTAAAACCACGCTTCAATGAAACTCTATACTTTCGTTTTCCTTTGTCTCCTTATTTATGAATATTTATTAGGTAAAAGTTGACAAAGACTTCTAACAACCTTTCTGATTGGATATATTACAGCAGTTCTGCACCAAATCCCTATTATTTAGCCAATCAGAGGCCTTTTCTTAACCCTATGTTGGGACCGATCACAGTCGGCATCGGCCATTGAGAACATCGTAAACAACCCGAGCGTGGTCGGGATCGGCCAATAACAGTACGATAAATAGCCCGAGTGTAGTCGGCATTGGGGCTGAATGAGTTAAGGAGTAAAAAGAAACTTAAACTAGAGGTGTCCAAGGGGAGGAGCCATTTTACAAATGGTTCCAAGTCAGTAGTTCATTCTAAGGAAAGTGTGCAGATAAATGAAGAATTGCCAAGTGAAGGTCAATCTAAGGACAGTGTTCAAATAAATGAAAAAGCATCAAGTGAAGGTACTGTCTTATCTTTCTATCTCAAATATTTCATATGCTAACCTAAGTATTGTGGATCAACACACATATGCTGCCATTATCATTTTTAAATGAATTTTATGATATCTGAATGTGGGAGTGGTGCAGCATGTGCAGGGTGGGAAAAGAAAACTTCAAAGACTACTCATCATCTTATGTGACAACTATGAAGTTCTAACCACTTGTCCCTTTAATTATACCCCCACTCCGAAGGAGAGGGGGGTATACTGTTTTACCCTTGTGTGTCTAGCTGTGTGTGTGTCTGTCCGTAACAAATTTTGGTCGCAGTTTTCTCAGCAACTACTCATTGCAGATGCTTGAAATTTTAGCACAATCTTTGTTTAGGCATGCCATATGGTGGGATTCATTTTTGTACTAATCTGATGTCAAGTTCCTGTTTATCCATGTGTCTGTCCGTACCATACATAACAAACTTTGGTCACAGTTTTCTCAGCAACTACTCATTGCAGATGTTTGAAATTTTAACACAATCTTTGTTTAGGCATGCCATATGGTGGGATTCATTTTTGTAAGAATCTGATGTAAACTTCTTGTTTATCCATGTGTCTGTCCGTACCATACATAACAAATTTTGGTCGTAGTTTTCTCAGCAACTACTCATAGCAGATGCTTGAAATTTTAGCGCAATCTTGTTTAGGCATGCCATATAATGGGATTCATTTTGGAACAAATCCGATGTCAATTTCCTGTTTATCCCTGCATCTGTCTGTACCATAAATAACAAATTTTGGTCGCAGTTTTCTCAGCAACTACTCATTGCAGGTGCTTGAAATCTTAACACAATGTTTGTTTAGGCATGCCATATGTTGGGATTCATTTTTTACTAATCCAATGTCAATTTCCTGATTATCACTGTGTTTGTCCATAACTGAACTTGTGTATTCACATCAGAGCGGGGGTATTATTAGTGAGGATTGGCTCACAGACTTCTTGTTTAAATTGGTTGCCAGTTATAAAAAAAATAAGTAGACAGGAAAATAATAGTATTTCTAACAGTAAACTGAGTGAAAAATATTCTATTTACCATATAACAAAATATTTTATCTATTTGATAATAATATATATACTTCAACCTTGAGTGTGTCTATGACCTGAAAAAGGAAATATTTATTTCACACTAAAATCAAAATGAAATTCAATCAATGGATTAAACGGAAGTGACATCACATTTTGATAGTAAAAATGTTACGGGCTGTAGAAAACGATCGCTTTTTACTTTCAATGAAACACCATACACAGTGTATACATCGTAAAGGAAATCAACATCTGACCCAAAGATCATAAAGTGAGAACAGACTTTTAAAGTCATAATTTTGATTTTGAAGTCTTAAAATTTTGTCAAAATTATGTTTGATACCCAAGCTGTCCATTAGTGCAGTTTAATAACAACATAATTACAAGACAGGCTTAATGTACTTTAAATGAATAAATACAACAATTTATTAAACCTTCCCAAAATATAGTTAGAAGAGGGGTATAAAGAAATCACCTTGTCCCTATACAGGGTTCTAAGTGACCTAAAAAAATTAGGTGCCAGATGGCTCCTTATTAAAAAATTTAGTCGCCATTGCAGTTACCAGGCAAATTTTTCTGAGGCGCCAATTTAAAAACTTATATTAGTCAATATATGAAGACATGTCCATTGCTAACTTTTATACTTCTTTTCTGCTCTTTATAAAATAATGTTGAAAATGTTTATAGTTCAGCAATTTGATGATCACCAAGTCAATTTAAAAATGGTTGCCAATTTGGCAGCTTACAGAGAAATTTTAGGTGCCTATTAAAAATTTCAGGCATCATGGCGACTCAATTAGTCGCCAATTAGAGCCCTGCTTTGTCTGTCTGTTCAATCTTGTACAGCTATAACTTTTGATGGGGGAATCATTGGAAGCCCATTCTTAGTACAAAGATTGTTTATGACATGAGGGTGCCTCTTGATCTTGACCCAAGGTCATTCCTGCAAGTTTAAGGTCATTGGCAGAAAAAGTACATTTTTGCCTGGGCTTAATCATTTAAATGGAGAATCATTTGAATTTCATATTTGGTAAGAAAACTCTCTTACCTATGGGTGTGTCATAACCTTGACCCAAAGTCATTCTGGCAAGTTCATCCCTATTTTTCTTGTATATCAGTTTGACTTGCTTGGTACTTTGCTTTAGAAGGTTTGAAATGTGTATATTGACAAGGCACAAGCATCACAGATCTTGTAATTGAAGTCAAAATATGTAGGCTGAAGATAAGTTTCCCACAGAAAATAGGTATAATAAGATTTACAATTGCTTTGTAGGAATTCATCTGCATCTCAAAGCATTGCCAAAGCCTGGGTGCAAGAAAAGATATGACAAGATTAACTTCTGTACTTTCTGCCATAAGGAAATACATTCTAAAATATCCAGACATTTGCTTACCCATAAGAATGAACTGAAAATAATGGAAATTCAGATGCTGCCAAAAAAGTCAGAGAAGAGAGGAATGCTGTTCCTGGAATTGATCAATGAGGGAAACTATAAACATAACATCGAAGTTTTGAAAAACGGTGGTCTGTTTATAACAGCAAGACGAGAAAGTCCAGATTCGTCAAATCATTCACCTGATGAATATCTCCCTTGTGAGTTTTGTAAGGGTTTCTTCCTGAAGAATTTATTGTGGCACCATGCAAAAAGTTGCAAATTAGCCTCAGTTAAAAACGAAGATGATGATGAGGATGAAAAGTTGGGAAAGTCTTTTGTTAGAAAAGGGAGAACATTACTATATGGTTCACTGTTTGATGAAAATGAAAGTAACATTATGCATTTGTTAGAGAGAATGAATGATGGAGAAGAAAAAGAAATCATAAAGAAGGATCTTATAATTAAAAACTTTGCTTCAATTCAAGTTCAAGCTTTGGGAGAAGAAAGAATTCAGAAAAAAAATGACATGCATAGAGTGAGTTCAAATTGCAGAACCCTTGCACGTTTAGTAATCATGGCCAGTAAAGACATACTACTACCATCGTTGAATAAGCTACTGTCGCCAGATCATTTTGATAAAATTGTGAAGTATGCAAATGAGCTGTCCTCTGAGGTGCCATCTCTTGGCCCAAAACTTGGCCATCTTATAGGTCATTGTGTAATGGTAAAGAATGGCTATGCAGTAAGGAAAAATGACGAGACAATGTTGGATGCATCAAAAAACTTCAAGCATCTCTTCGATTCTGAATGGGGTTTTAGAGTCAATGCACCAGCAAGGAAAAGAAAGAGGGTTGCCAATTTAAACAACCCTTCCAAGATACCTAGCACAAGCGACTTGGTAAAATTCAGGGATTTCCTCATCTTCGAAATGAAAGAATCTGAGCAAATTTTGGAAAGTAATGAAGATCAATTACATGTAGCATGGAATCGGCTAGCAAAGGCCACAATGTGCCGTTTGATACTATTCAACAAACGGAGGGTTGCAGAAGTAGAAGATTTACCTGTGGAGTATTTTCAGAAACGTCCCAAATGGACTTCAACTGAGGAATTTGAAGAATCTCTGACAGATATGGAAAAAAACTTTGCAAAAAGGTAGGGGGGGGGGGGGGAAATCTGATAAATTTTTTTTTAAAAATTAAATTCTTGAATTTATCGCAGCACAAACTTAAGGTCACAATCTAATTGGTAATTCAATTTTACACAGATACATTATTATAAAAGAAAGACAAATTATAGTCTATAAGTTAGATACCACTATATTTTATAGTTTCCATATGCCTCCATAAGTGTTTATGGTATTTATGGGATATTTTTTATGGTTTATAGATTTTTATAAGAGAGCTATTCAACTGCATCAGCATTTTTGACCTTGATCTTTCTTTTACCTTGACATCACTTTTCTTAAATTTGCATTTAACACAGTTTAAAGAAACCATTCAAAATAATTTTATCAAACTTAATTTGCTGATACATATTAGTGAGAGCTATTCAATTGCATCAAAAACTTTTGAATTTGAACTTTCCTGTGACCTTGATCTCACTTTTCTTTAAATTTGCATTTTGCTTAGTTTTTAAGAAACCCTTTAAGATATTTTTGTGTAAGCTTATGCACTTGTACATAATTTGGTGATCATTTATCATCTATATCCAACTTTTTAGATTTCAATTTTAATTTTAAACTATTCAAGATATTCTCATCAAACGTCATACACTAATACAAATTATCATGTTGCATTACTTATACATATACCTGCAGCGGGCATTCATGTACTTTGGACATATTTCTAGTTTATTCATCCGTTTATATCTTATGCTTTTAGATTGTAAAATGTAAGCAACGTCTGACTTTGTCTACAGTGTACTTGTTATATTTGTAAGGAGTAGCCAAAGCAGATAACAATTGTGTACAGATTTTTATTTTAATTTTTTTTTTAATTTTTTTTTTTTTTTTTTTTTTTTTTTTTTTTTTTTTTTTTTTTTTTGCACATAGCTTATTAAAAATCTTTCTATTCTTGTAGAATGGATTTAGTCGAAGGTTTTGGGAAATCAAAAAAAAATATGAAGGCATATATTCTTTTGACCCCTGATTCAAAAAGAGCATTAGAAGTTCTCACAAGACTCAGATCTGCTGTTGGAGTTAGCCCAACAAACAAATACATGTTTGCTAGACTGAATTCCAATACACCATTATCTGGGACAACAGCAATGAAGGAGTTGTTGGGAAAATGTGAAGGATTAAAACATCCAGAAAATATTACATCAACATCATTGAGAAAATACATTGCAACTGTATCCCAAGTAAGTACATAGCACTTGGTGTTCTCGTCAAATATTATTTGTCTTTTTTCTTGCTTTTTCCAGTTTAAATAGTTAGGTAAGTTGATGATTATTTCTGATAATATGATTTATTTAATTACAATGATTTTTCAATAGATATTGGATATGACACAGGGAGAACTAAAACTACTTGCTAAACATCTTGGACATGATGTAAAAACACACAAGGAATACTATCAGTTGTCATCATCAGTGCTTGAGCTATCCAAGGTAAGAAGTGTTTTAGTTGTGACAACATTTTAAGAGCTCATGTGCATATTTGTATGTCATAATGTGATGACCATGCTATCTAAATTTTCACCATGTACTAGAGTGTAAATCTCTTAGCATTTTACCAACAATGGAGAGTTCACTCAGGTGGTAGAATTATAATCCTCCCCTGCACAGGAAAACGAAAACCTGTGCAACATATATACCTATTATTGTGTAATAGGTATCCTAGTCATGTTTTTACATACCAGTATTACAACAGGTGAAAATGGTACTGTATACAGGGAAATTTTTGCCCCTTTCACCCTCATCACAAGTGGGTGAATTTTAAATGGTCGAATTGAAAGAAGATGGCATTATCTCTTTAATACAACTCTATTTGGGCAAATTTAAAAGGGGCAAAATTGTTTATAGGTATAAAAGGGTGCCAAAAAGAAAAACTGTATATAATAGTCATTTTAGGTCAAACTTCCAAACAGGAAAAATTTAATCCTCCAGAGCAAAAGCTCTATCAATCCTAGAAGATTATGAAATTTAAAGATAAAAAAGAGTGGTGGCTAGTATGCAATAATTAATCATACTTTAGTTGTAATTAATAGAGCATCTATTTTGCCTATGCTGATAAGTAATGCTAGGCCATTAACAAATCTCTTGCAAGGTCTTTATAAAATACATGTATCTTTAAATGTTTTAGGTTGCTAGGATGCTTTATGCTGTGGAGAATGGTCAAGTCAATGAATGGGCAGGAAAGAAAATGAAAGACATACAGCTGGAAGGTAATTATTTTGTAAAGAATTTTTTTCATGCCTTCTTGTCTTTATTTACTAAGGGCAATTCCAGTGAAAATAATCTACTGGGATGGATCCCTATTTTTTGTATGGGGGAAGGGAGGTATGGGGGTAGTTTTGTGTTCTAAAGAGTTGAGGAAGAGATGCACCCCCAAAGTTGGGGGGAAAATCCTGAGAAAAACGCAGTTGCTATAAATAAAACGCACCTCCAAAAATGCAAATATGGATGTATCTCTTATTTTCACAGCACAACTAATTCAAAGAAAAAGTTTAAAAAGTTAAAAATATTCGTATCATTTCAAAAAGGAAAGTAGGATACAACTTTAAATTTTCTTGGCAAATTCAGTTTACCTATAAGCTTTATTTACATGTATTTAAGTTTAGTTTGTATTTTAATTGTTATTTGATTGGGATAGATTAAAAGCAATGTCCCTAAATTTTTTTTTCTGTAACCCCAAGCATGTAACGATATTGTGTTGACAGTGCATTCCAAGCATGTCTCTGTTTACTTAAACAAATCATCCCAAGTGTAATTAGTGTCACACTGATGTATATAAGTGATACCAGGTAATGAAAAAGGTATGTAAAACATTTATTGTTAAATAAACTTTACTGATTACGAGTGTATTGTTTAAAATGGCAGTTGTTTCGAAACCAACTGGCCGGAAATTGTTATATAAAAAAAATATGACCTACATAAGATGGGACGTATTATGTTATGGTGTTCATGTCCGTCTGTCCATCCGTCTCTTAGCTTTTTTGTGTATGGCTCATAACTTAAATACTATTAGGCCTAAAATTACCAAACTTTGTCAGCTGATACATCTTGGGTAGAAGGTGTGTTTCACATTAAAAGTAGGTCCCTCTGACCTTAAATTAAGTATGGAAAAATCATGTCCAGCTCATTTGTTCCAAAAATCAAATGGTGTTGAATACCAATAAGACAAAATGTATGCTTATGGGAACTCAACATAGAAAATCAAAGATAAATTCTCCTGAATTAAATTTATAAGCTTCAAACAAATTAATTGAAAATGTTGAATCTGAAAAACTTTTGGGAGTATATATTGATCATTCATTGCGCTATAATTACCATATTGACTCAGTTTGTAAATCTTTGACGTATAAATTATATACCTTACGCAGAATTAAAAAATTTCTCCCATTACACACAAGAAAACTATTCTATAATGCCTACATTCTGCCTTCTTTAAATTATTGTCTAACTATTTGGGGTAATGCGCCAGGTGCTGGCATAGATAGAGTTTTTAAATTGCAAAAAAGGGCAGCCCGGATTATATTAGATGTGGCTTATGATGCCCCTTCACTACCATTATTTGAAAAACTTGGATGGCTTACCATATATGAGTTGATTGATTTTCATAAATATGTATTACTGTACAAAACACTTCATGGTATGGCACCTGATTATTTAAGAGACTCTTTTGAATTTATTTCTTCTAATAATTATGTTTTACGATCTGAAACCAACTATGACCTTCGTCTACCGAAATATCGAACAAATCAATTTAAAAATTCTTTTCATTATTCCGGTGTTCATTTATGGAACAAATTACCTTTGTATATACGTTTTTCACCAACTGTAAACACATTTCGTAAAAATGTGGAAAAATTTATTATAACTTGCCGCAACACTGTTTAAGTAACGTAATTCCATGTCCTAAACTTTTAATTGTACTTGTATTTTTCCATCATGTTGTATTATTTAATTAGTGTACAATGTTTTCATACATGTAATTGTAAACAAGGAATTATTTTATCTCGGAATAATTATTTTCCCTGGAATTCACCTTTTTCTTGTTGAAGAATTATAGTAGACCCTATATTCCTTAGTTACATGAGAAAAATTCTATTGTAGTAATATTGTGACTAAGTAATGATAGACTACAGTTATTACTCATAATGTTTCTTTGTTATATTCTGTATTTATATCCATTTTATAGAGTCTTCCTTTCTTTTGTTGGTTTTGCATTGTGTGTGACTGTTTTTTTTTTTGGTGGTTTTTTTTTATTTTTATTAACTTTATTTATGTAAGATTCAAACTCATAATAAGATATATACTAGATCTACTTCCGGTAGGGAAGGGGGGTGGGGTTAGCTTTTCAGTGAAAAGCTAACCCACCTTAGCTTTTCACTGAAAAGCTAACCTCTCTTAGCTTTTCAGTGAAAAGCTAACCCTTAACGTAGAATGCAGTTCTGTTCCAAAGTAGACATCAAATGGAATGCAATCCGTAACTCCTCTCTGGGAACGTTAAATTAATCATTAGAAATACCGTTGAAGTGTTATTCCGCAAAAAAATTCAGCTTGAAAATAAAACCAAGTGGAGACTTGGGTAGACCTATGCGATTCACCGAATTCAGCGCTGTAAAGCACAGGGATTGCGATCGAGACGTACACAATCCTGCCTGCGGTATCGGAGGTCTATAAAATCACCTGTTGTAAAGTTACAATACGACATATCTCAATACTGTTAAGCGTTATTTACAGCACAGACTCCAACAAGACGACATCCATTACTCCAGAAGGTGGCGTCTCCGCGTCACTTCCGTGTCTGTGACGTCGTATTCTCTATGCACTGACAATGAAAATTGATCGGCGGATCATGTTTTCTTTACAAGATTTTATTGGATATGTCTTTATTCGCATATCTTATCAAACTCTGCCGGGAGCAGGAATAAAATTCATTCACGTGTGATCATATAAATTATATAGAATATGTTTACACACTTATCATGCTTATATTAGTAGTATTTTCTGATTTTTACAGGTGCAATACGTACTATATCCAGCGACATATAAACTTGAATGCTCTAGCCTGCACATTAATTTTTTTCAATGTGTAAAATTGTTCAGCACCTGGCCATGCCGAAAAACACTTGGCCAAGCGATGTTACGTATATATATATATATATATATATATATATATATATATATATATATATATATATATATATATATATAGATCTATATATATATATATATACGATGACGCCATCAAAAAACGAGATTTCAAGGCTTATATTTACATTCTCTAAAATTTCCTCTTTACAAGGTTAGCTTTTTGAGAAGATTAGAAAGTTGGTCAATGGCATATTGTTGTGTGATGAAAAATGTTTTTTTTTAATCCAACTACCAGAGTTCCCGTTGAAGATTGGGCTTCACCATCGTAACCTCCATCGCAGAGAATATAATTTTTGCTAAAATATTACTGTATGACAGTGTCAAATTTAAAGAATGAATAATGTGTCATTAAAAAACTTTTAATTGAATGTTGATGAAGAAGACATATGTGCTTGTTTTAAATTTTGTTAAAAAAAATTGTTACAAAAGAAATGACACCCCCCCCCCTCAATAAATAAATAAATAAATAAATAAATAAATAAATAAATAAATAAATAAATAAATAAATAAATAAAAGTAAAGAAAAGTCATGAAATCGATTGAAAAATAAAACTGGAAATTTTTTTTAATGCTTTTAGCACGTATATTTATTTCAGATACCATGAAATTTACACTAGCCCCCTACTCTGTGTTACCCTGTTATTTAACTCAGTTGTGTGCATTTCAAGCGAGGCTATTCAGAGGTTTTAAATCGTGTAAATTTTTACAAGCATCTTTCCCACAGTGGTCACGTCTCATCAAAATTTAAAAGCCTTCACTCATATGGAAATGGACAACACACAAAAACCATCCGTCCGTCTGTTAGCTTTTTCGTGTCCGGCTCATAATTTAATACTGTTAGGCTTAGAATTATCAAACTTTGTCAGCTGATACATCTTGGGTAGAAGGTGTGCCGCGCATTAAAAGTAGGTCCCTCTGACCTTTAATTAAGATGTTATGGCCAAATATGGAAAAATCATGTCCGACTCATAACTAGAAAACTATTAAAACTATTAAAACGGTAATAAAACCCAGCTCGGACAAGCGCAACATTCCGGAATTAACACCCACTAGTGGGCATTTTTAATTACCTTTAATAAAACTAAAGGGCCATTTTCAATGTAAATTTTTGCAAGTAATGTACCACACAGATAACAAAATATGGGTTAGGTGTAAAATAATTAAGATTTGAGTTAATTAGAAGATGTTAGAGGGATTCGAAAAAGGGGCCACGGCAATATGCTTAAGTGGAAACATTCTTTAGCAGCTTTAATTTAAACAGCTACAGCAAAAAATAAAGAAGTAATGTGTAAAGGAGGGGTGTGGGGGGGGGGGTCAAATTTATGCTGCTGACTGACTTCCTTGAAATATTTTCCCTCTTTTTTAATTTCATTCATTTTCATTATTTTTTTTTGGGGGGGGGGGGGGTTGTATGTGTACCTCTGATCAGTTTGAATAAAATGCACAGGGTTCTCCATGGGTTGTTTAACGTGGCGGCCCGGCCACAGTTCCGCCACAATTAAAATATCAGCGCCATAGTAAGATCGTCGTCGTCAGTAAGATAAATATAATAATTTATAAACCAAATGAACATCCAAAATTATATACAGTTTATCAGTTTCTAATGCTTAACCGTAAATGTACTTTAATTAGGGCCCGTTGTTTGGCTTGCACAAGCAATAATCTTCAAGACCTGGCTGGACACTTGAATCAAAAGATATCAGCCATTTCTCCAACACTTTAATTGCAAATGAAATTTTTAATATTAATAAATACAGATAACCACGTCTCTAAAAGGGCACTGGCACTGCGAGTCAAACATCGTACGTGTGTCGTAATCATGTATTTTTGTAATGTTGAAAAATTTAACGATAGATCCACAATTTTAAATATCATTTATGACACTAAACTGCTAGATGTCCTTTAATGAATATTGTATAATTTACCTTTAAGTTTTGTAAAGATTATTATTTTTATTAAAATAGGGTTTAATGTTTAAAACTTGTTGTTACTAGTACTTTATTTTCTGATTCTATAAGCTAAATAAATATTTGTTTATTTATAAGTACGTGTTTCTTTTTGGGGGGATGTCTTTTTCACAGTGGGAATATATTTTGGAAACATTCTAATTTTTGTTTTACACTATGTTTAATCGATACCGATTAATTGCTCTTATTATTAAATATGCGTATTTAATCCGCCCATTCCT